GAAGTCGTGTTTACCATATTGCTTGTTTTGTTCTTTCTATCATAGTTTATAGACTATAATAGCTGTATTTAATCAAAATTGTTATTAGCAATGTGCTTTTCTAGCCATTAAAACTCTTTTATTATATTTTTATAAATAAACAGATTAGAAGAATCACAAATTTCCTTATTGCAAGTTAGATATTTTAATTAAGCCTTCAAGGGTGAATATTGAGATGGATATTTTAACCTTCAAGGGTGAATATTGAGATGGATATTTTAATCTTCAAGGGTGAATATTGAGATGGATATTTTAACCTTCAAGGGTGAATATTGAGATGGACATTCAAACCTTTAAGGGTGAATATTGAGATGGATATTTTAACCTTCAAGGGTGAATATTGAGATGGATATTTTAACCTTCAAGGGTGAATATTGAGATGGATATTTAAACCTTTAAGGGTGAATATTGAGATGGATATTTAAACCTTTAAGGGTGAATATTGAGATGGATATTTTAACCTTCAAGGGTGAATATTGAGATGGATATTTTAACCTTTAAGGGAGAATATGGATTTAAATACATTATTGTATGGCTTTATACATGTCTATACCAAATACTGGATTTTTCAAGTTGTTTGGTCCATAGTTACCTTCAGGAATAGTTCAATCACTTTATAACCTTACTTTTGTTAAAATTTAATTTTCAATAAAATAATATAGGGCAAAACTGAAAAGTAAAACTTCAAAGTTACATAGGTGCACATGTCCGGGTAATACTTAATCATATAGAAAGGATAAAATCCCAATAAGACCCCAGTGTTATCATGATTCTAAACATTATATGCATAATATGTTAATATAAGGCAGTTGTTAATATACAAACATGTTGATGAAAGGTTGAAAAAGGGGCTGTGTAAATTTAAGTCAAATTAGGCCATCTTACATTAAAATTATATGTGTTGCTCAATGCTATAAGAGATAATAACATTTGATACTGGTAGTCAACACTCAGATATGACAATATATAGGCTATTTGAGAAAAGTAACTTTACTTTAAATATGCTTTATGGCTCTTCACACCTAAGCAGTTTAATAGATAATCAACAATATGATTATGATTTCAAGCCAGATCATGTAACTTAAAACAAAGCATTTATTACAAAAAAAAAAAAAAAAAAAAAAAAACAGTATTATGAATTACATACACACATAACACACATAAATATATAAAAATATTATTATTTACAATTTCTTTTCGATATTTTATAATTTTACTATTTTCATTTGTGGCACATCCCATCTGAAGAACTGGTAGATATATTAACTTTATACGTTGACGTAACTACTAAGCAAAATCACAAAGCGACTGTCTATGTTAAGTTTCATACCAGTAATACGTGTAAATTTTAATGCCCCTTTTTAGCTAACGTGAGCTTGCTTAGACTGAGCTTTTTGGATCCTCTGCGTCCGTCCACATTTGTTGTTAACACTTTAAAAGTCACATTTTTGCCTCGATCATCATCAAACTGTCAGGATGCGTGTCTAGGTAATTTCTCTGATGAATTCGAACATGGGTCATCTCGGATGGAAAACTAGGTCACAGGAGCTAAAATAGAAAAATCTTGTCAACATTCTTGTGGCTATTGTTTTGATCCAAATATCTTAAAATTGGTCTGAAAGTTTGTTTTGATGATTTCTAGGTAATTTCGAATCTGGGTCATCTGGGGGTCAAATATGGAAAAACCTGTTAACACTCTAGTGGTCACTTGTTTTACTCAATTGTCATTAAACTTGGTCATGATGCTTGTCTTAGTTTTGTGCCTGGAATAATGCATGGAAGGGCACCTGAGGTCGTCTTGTACCAGTAAAGATGGAACGTCGCCAAATGACCTATACTGTGTCGGTATGACGAAAACCCAAACAAACAAAATTGTCTAAGTTTTTTGCTCGGATGAGTTAGATGGGTCAGGTGAGCGATCTAGGACCATCTCGGCCCTCTTGTCTTTGTATCTTGAAATATAGAAAGATTGTAGTCTGGAGACTTTATATGTAATATTTTTTCTCTCTATGTTGAAAAATGCGGTTGCTATGGCATCAAGTACTTTAATGTTGCAAAAAAAACACACAATATTTGTGATCTGTATTAAAACGAATTGAAAATATTTTTATGAAACTTAACTACCTCTACAGTAAGATGGCGGTTTTGAGATTTATGCTCGGCTTGACAGAGTATGTTGTGAGTTGAATTACTCGCTCAGTGGGCGACCGCGTCCAGATTTCTGATTGAAGTTTTACGCAGTAAACTAGTTTTCACTATAACTTCTTATTTTTCTTAAAATAATTTCTAGTTTAATTCCTTGTTCAAACTTCAAATATATGTTTCTGATTGTCAACACACCATATGTATTAAGGTTCACAACTTTAGCACCAAAATTATCATAATTTCCCCATTGAACTTAGAATTTTCATGAGAAATGTTGTTCTATAGCGTTGCTTATCAAAATGGGGAGGCATATAGTTTTTGTTTTTACAGATATGGAAAGGTGACCATCTAACTGTAAACAAAACGGAAGAGAACAATACAGTTTAGTCAGTAATGATTGAGGAAGGGGCCAATGGTATTATGTTAAACAAAAGAAAAAAAACAACAAAACAATAGAAACTTTTATCCCAATTCTGTCTCATATCTGTCCATATGAAGTTAACTATGTCGGCTTGTTGGATTTATCTTGAGTTCTATCTGTGCCAATACCCTCATAATTTTACACAGTTGCTTATCATTATAGAGTTACATGATCTGGGTTGGTAACTAACATGGCTTCCATTTTGCCATTTTCAGCACTTAAAAATGGATAATGTCAACCAAAATAATAAGTTGGATATATTTTAAGCTCTATCTGTAATAATGGTTTTATAATTTCCACATATATTACTTTGCAATTCATTTTCCCGGTTATTTCCATTTCTATAATTCTAAAAATAGGGCCTTGTATGGTAAAGCTATCCCGACCAGTTGGATTTATCTTTAAGTAAAATCTCTCTTGATTATTTGCTATCTTAAATTTGGTAGGTGGATGCCTTCAATAATCCTCTTTCTGTGTAGTATGGGGTATCTCGTCTGTTTTAGTCAGGGATCATTTAGGTCAAGGTCAATGTCACTTTTGCTAAACAGAGATTTTTACACTTTGGCCCGTACATGTAATAATTTTGACACAATTATGTCTATGGTAGGAAGATAACGTGCATGTCTACTTCTTTTGGATTGTCTTAGGGGTTAATGTGCAAATAATAGATTTGTACAAATTTGCTGATACATCCTGTATTTTCAGACTGATATTTTTCATATTTCGTAGAATGATAATTGGTGTGGTCTTTGGATTGAGTTAAATGTCACCACTGCGTGAAATATTAGTAGATTTTTTTCAATGTTTGCCCACACATCCTTTCTTTACTGGTAAGGAGATACCTTGCATGGTTTTCTTGATCTAATTTGCAATGAGTTAATGAGTCAGTTGGTCAAGGTTAGAGGTGTCAAAATAGATTTCTTAACATGTTCTTATATAACCTTTATTATCTCCCGCCGAAAAGGCGGCGGGGGATATAGAAATAGTCTCCGTCCGTCCGTCCGTCCCACCTTCCGTCCATCCATCCGTTAGTCCGTCCGTCCGTCCTTCCGTCCGACATTTTTGTCCGGAGCATATCTCTAAAAGTATTTCAGTTATCAACTTGAAACTTCATAAGTTGATAGACCTCATTGAGGAGGAGTGCAGTGCACAAGAATGATAACTCTATCCTGCATAATTTTTTAGTTATTTCCCTTTGTTATTTTTCAAAAATGATTTTTGTCCAGAGCATAACCCCAAAAGCCTATGAGATATCAACATGAAACTTCATAGGTGCATATATCTCACTCAGGAGGTGTGCAGTGCACAAGAATGATAACTCTACCTTTCATAATTGTTTAGTTATTGCCCTTTGTTATTTTTCATACTTAATTTTTCACCTGAGTGAAGCAAAACTCAAAAAGTTTTTGAGATATCAACATGAAATGTCATAGTTGGATAGATCTTATTGAGGAGGAATGTTGTGCGCAATAATGATAACTCTTCCCTATACAATTTTTGAGTTATTGCCCTTTGTTCTTTTTCATGTTATTTTGTCCAGAGCTTATCTCAAAAAGTATTTGAGGTATCAACTTGAAACTTCATAGGTGGATGGATCTCATTGAGGAGGAGTGCAGTGCACAAGAATGATAACTCTACCTTGCATTATTTTTGAGTTATTGCCCTTTGCTTTTTTTCAAAATTAATTATTGTCCAGAGCATAACTCAAAAAGCCTTTGAGATATCAAAATGAAACTTCATAGGTGCATAGATCTCACTCAGGAGGTGTGCAGTGCACAAGAATGATAACTCAACCTTTCATAATTTTTGAGTTATTGCCCTTTGTTATTTTTCATACCTAATTTTTCACCCGACTGGAGCATAACTCAAAAGTGTTTGAGATGTCAACATGAAATGTCATAGGTAGATAGATTTTATTAAGGAGGAATGCTGTGCACAAGAATGATAACTCTTCCCTGTACATTTTTTGAGTTATTGCCCTTTCTTCTTTTTCCGGAGCTTATCTCAAAAAGTATTTGAGGAATCAACTTGAAACTTCATAGGTGGATGAATCTCATTGAGGAAGAGTGCAGTGCACAAGAACAAGAAAATGGAATTATTCTGCTCTTCTACATATACATTCTTCCAATGAGCAAACACATTCGGCGGGGGATGGCCATGTTGACATGGCTCTTGTTTATTGATGATATTAATAACATTTTAACTGAACATACATCCTTGGATGATTAAGTGTAGGCAGTCACAAGGTCAATGTACCTCTTCTAACAATAAATTCTTACACTTTTTCTAATACAGCCTTATGAAAAGAATCCGGGGATGGGTATTTGTGTTTCCAAACATGTTCTTAATTGTTTCATATTGTTGATTATCTGTTTGATATTTTCTTTTGCAGAAATTCTCATGTGATGGTGCAGTTTAAATCAAGTTTTGATGCAGAACAGAGGTGATTGTGAAAGTGAAAACATATTGCAGTAAAAAACGTGTACAACCACTCGGGAAATTTAACTTAATTATTGAACTTTGATTTCATATAAAACGTTAACATACACATTTGATCTGTGTGATTTTAAAGATATTTAAAATTTGATTTGTTAACATTCATTCAAGAAAAATGAACTCTCATATAAAAAAGAAGCAAAAGTGCAAAGTAAAGATATAGAAGTCGTTTATGATGTTTCTGAAAAAGATGCCTTGAAGGATAACAGTGATATTTTGACACCTAGAAGAATACATATTGGAAACGAATCATTCAAATGAGAAATATGTGACAGAGCGTCCAGTCAGTCGTGTTATCTTGAGAAACACATCAGATGTTACATTTAAGAAAACAACATTTAAATCAGATATATATGATAGTGCATTCAAAAGCTCATCTTAAGGAATATATGAGCAAAGATTACGCAAAAAAAAAACAACATTTCATATGTGATATATCGACTTGTACATTCCGTTTTAAGACTAATCTTAACAGGCATATGAACATAAAGCCTAAGATAAAATAAAAACACTCAAATATGATTTATTTACCTATAAATCCAGTTTAAAAGGAAATCTTTAGACACATTTCAGCATACTTACTCAAGAAAAAACATACGTATATGATTTATGTGCAACATCATTCCATCTAAAAGGTTATCTACAGAAGCATAAGAGCATGAGCATATACATACCAATGGAAAACCATAAAATAATGATTTATGTGCCAGTTCATTCCGTCGAAAAGGAAAGACCCATTTAAGCATTATTACATCAGAAAAAACATTTAAGTCTGATTTTTGTGCTTATAAATTAAGTCTAAAGAATAATTTTTAGACACATTTTAGCATTCATAACAAAGAAAAATGAACATTCAAAACTGGATTTATGTGTTTATAAATCAGTCTAAACAGTAATCTTAAAAAACAAATAAGCATACATATAAAAAAACCATTCAAATATGAAGTATGCGCTTAAACATTTCGTCTAAAACAAACTCTAAAGACACAATGAGCATACACTGTTACAGTAGTACACAAGAAAAAACATTCAAATGTGATTTATGTGCTTATAAATCAAGTCAAAAAAGTAATCTTACGAAACATATAGGCATACATACCAAAGAAAAACCATTCAAATGTGAAGTATGTCCTAAAACATTTCGTCTAAAACAATATCTAAAAAAGCATATAAGCATACATATATCAGGAAAACCATTCAAATGTGAAGTATGTGCTGAAACATTCCGTACAAAAGGAAATCTAAAGCAGCATATAAGCATACATAAGTCAGAAAAAACATTCAAGTGTGAAGTATGTGCTAAATCATTCCGTCTAAAAGGTTACCTAAAGAAGCATAAGAGCATTCATTTATCAGAAAAACCATTCAAGTGTGATTTATGTACTAGAACATTTAGACTGAAACAAACTCTAAATACGCATATAAGCATACATCTATCAGAAGAAACATTCAAATGTGAAGTATGTGCTAGACCATTCAATCAAAAAGGAAATTTAAACAAGCATATACGCATACATAAATCAGAAAAACCATTCAAGTGTGATTTATGTGATAGAACATTCCATCAAAAACATACTCTGGAGAGGCATATGAGCATACATATACCGGAGAAAACATTCAAATGTGATTTATGTGGTTTTAAAACCAGTTTCAAAGGTAGTCTTAAGACACATATAAGCATACATACCAAAGAAAAAACATTCAAATGTGAACTGTGTGCTAGAACATTCCGTCTCAAAGGAACTCTAAAGCAGCATATGAGCATACATATATCAGAAAAAACATTTAAGTGTGATTAATGTGCTAAAACATTCAGTCTGAAACGTTCTTTAAAGCGGCATATGAGCATACATATATCAGAAAAAACATTCAAGTGTGATTTATGTGCTAAAACATTCAGTCTAAAACGTTATTTAAAGCGGCATATGAGCACACATAGCAAAAGCAAAGCCATTTAGATGTGTCTTACGTACTTAAACTTAAACACAGAAAATAAAATGAATTGACATTTGAGGATGCATACTTGAGTAAAAACCAATCAAGTATGATGTTTATTATAGTTTTTAAAGATAACTTTTAGCGTCACATGTCAATACATTCTCGAGAAGACATCTTAATGTCAGTTCTGTGATTGTACGTTTAAATGTTCGTTCAAATTGTCTTAAGAATCAGTTGAGAACTCATATTGGACAACAATCATTCAAATGTGATGTGTGTAACAAAACGAATCTGGCATGGGTGTTCTCGTAAGCTTCACAGGAGGAACACAGGAGAAAAATCATTCAAATGTGATAGGTTGCAAACGAGTTTGTTATGATAGCTGTTTTCATAGGCTTTACATGAGGAAAATACATTGTAATGTGATGTATGAGGCAAACGATTCATTCACAAGTGTTTCCTCTTTAAAAGCGTACGTCACATGTGAATTCATACTGGTACATAACCATTCGAATGTGATGAACTTAATACTACATTCAGCTTTCAGGATAGTTTTCGGGCCATTTGAGACTTCATACTGGAGAAGAACCATTTAGATGTGGTGTTTGCAGTATAAAATACCATTATAGGTCACATGGACTTAGTAGGAAGAATACTCATTCACATATCAGTTGTTGGTGTTGCGATTGTATAAGGAGCTTTTGGTAATTCATACTGGAGAAAAAACATTCATATGAGATATATGCGATTATAGCCTTAGTCATTACCTTAAGCGTTACATATAAGAACATTTCAAGGTCAGTTATGAGATTGTTTATTCAATTATTCAGATTGTCTAAAGAGCACCCTCCGAAAAAAAAAGAGTAGAAAAACGTACATACAACCGAAAACAACAAAGAAATTCAGAAACATAAGAAGACATTTGTTATGTGTAAGACGGCAGGCCAGTATGGTTTAAGATCAAGATTGCAAGAATAATAATAGTTTTTTATTATACAATTTGTTTTATGGTATACAATTTATGTGTATGATTGGATTTTTGCCATTTGTGCTTCACATAAACCTTTTTAGGTTGATGATGCCTAGTATTGATGACCTATGTAATTATAGCAAAGGTTATGTCAATGATGTCCGTATATCTGTACGTCTGTCCGAAGGAGGTCGTTTCAATTATGTTTTATGTATGACTTTATCTTGAAAAACAGATAACGCTTTGAATAATATTTACAAAAACATTAAAAAAATAACCGCCAGTTTTTTGAATTAACGTAAACCCTGTTTGAACAAGATAATTCCATAACAACAGAATTTAATGCAGAGTCTTTCGTTAATTAATCAATAATTTCATCTAAATTTTTGAACAACTTGATCAGTATGTTTTACTTTTTTGGATGATAAATAAATTTAAAACATGGTACTATCTTTTAATATGTATGTTGTAAAGCAAGGCTTATGTGGGCCCCATTGGGCGAGGTTGGCCAACAGTAGCATGGTATTCTCTACGTAGCTGATATATGGGTAACATATTGAACTAAAATCTTGGTAAAGCTATAAACTCCCTTGCCTTGATGAGCATTATGAGAATGTTAACAACTTAGTCCAACCATGTCACTGCTGATCGGTGAACATTATCAGTATTCACAATTTTAGCATTATTAAGCCAAACATAACATTATTCAGGCTAATTTTATTAATTTATATTTTGTAATTTTTTGTGAAATATTTTACTTCAAAGTATTTTTTTTCATTTGAAAATAAATTTCATTAATCAACTAAAATTATTTCGGAGTTAGGATAATCTTGATTTAAAAGTATAGTTTCGTAGATGTATATTGACATTACATGAATCGCTTAACATAGTTTAACATTACATGAATCGCTAAACATAGTTCCGTTCTTGAATAATATGACATGAATTGCATTATGTAGTTTTGTAATTTTATAGCTCAATATATAGTTTGGTAGTTGTATAACGTAACATGAGTCGCTTAACATAGTTTCATTGTTATATAACGTTTCATGACTCACTTACCATAGTTTCATAGTTGTTTAACATTACATGAATCATCTAAAAGTGTTTTAAAGTTGTATAACGTTACATGACTCACTTATCATAGTTGTATATCGTTACATAAATCGCCTAACATAGTTTCATAGTTGTTTAACGTTACATGAATAATTTAACATAGTTTCAAAGTTGTATAACGTTACATGTCTCACTTAACATAGTATAATAGTTGTATATCGTTACATAAATCGTCTAACATAGTTTCATAGTTGTTTAACGTTACATGAATAACTTAACATAGTTTCATAGTTGTATAACGTTACATGACTCACTTAACATAGTATAATAGTTGTATAACGTTACATAAATCGTCTAACATCGTTTCATAGTTGTTTAACGTTACATGAATAACTTAACATAGTTTCATAGTTGTATAACGTTATATGTCTAACTTAACATAGTTTCATAGTTGTATATCGTTACATAAATCGTCTAACATAGTTTCATATCTGTTTAACGTTACATGAATAACTTAACACAGTTTCATAGTTGTATAACGTTACATGACTCACTTAACATAGTTTCATTGTTGTTTAACGTTACATGAATCGCTTTATATAGTTTCATCTTGTTTAACGTTACATGAATTGCTTTATATAGTTTCATTGTTGTAAAACGTTACATGAATCGCTGAATTTAATTTTGTTGTTGTATGATGTTACATGTATCTCTTAATATAGTTTCACTGTTTTGTAACGTTACATGAATCTCTTAATATAGTTTCACTGTTTTGTAACGTTACATGTATCTCTTAATATAGTTTCACTGTTTTGTAACGTTACATGTATCTCAATATAGTTTCACTGTTTTGTAACGTTACATGAATCTCTTAATATAGTTTCACTGTTTTGTAACGTTACATGAATCTCTTAACATAGTTACATAGTTGTATAATGTTACATGAATCGTTTAACATAGTTTTATAGTTGTATAACGTTAAATGAATCACTAAACCTAGTTTCATAGTTGTATAACGCTACATGTATCGCTTTATATAGTTTTGATGTCGTATAACGATTTACTTACCTGAATGTCTTGTTTTATTGTATAATTTTACATGAATCCCTACATATTGTATGCATCTTTACTTTAACTTTTTTATTCGAAACATTGTTATTAAACTTGTACGGTTTCAAAGTAGCATTAAACTAGTTGACATTCTATTACACAGAATTATGTGCATATCATTACACATCTAACAATCAGCATATCATTACATGTAACTATGTATTTTAATGCATTACTTTGAACCTGTAATTAATTTGTTTTTGAATGTTCAATAGTTTATAACTATTTCATTTTATTTTTGAATATTCATTTGTTTATAACTGTTGAATTTGTTCTTGAATATTCAATTTTTTATCAGTGATTTTTATTTGCTGATGATTTGTCAAGCAGACATGTTATATAATTTTGCACAGTACGTTAAGTTCAATAAAACATTTCACTTGAATGCTTTTTTTATAGTTTTTCATATTATTATACTTTGTCACCTTTACCTAAAATAATTAATTTTAAACACTGTATCTTGATATGGGGTTTTAGAATCGACAACTTATGACCTGAAGATATTACGAGTAGCCCATATCTTCTTATGGGCTTTTAGAATTAAGAACATTGTTTGGAAATTTGGAGCGTTCATTGCCTATCCGCAGCAGAACTGATACACATCTATGCACACAAACATCGCATGGTTATTACGTACATTGGAGTAGAGACACATTTAAAAATATGTATAAAGATTGTTAGTTTAGGGTTGCAGATAAGTTCAAATATGTTGACATGTCTTTGATTTGCAACCATTCGAGCAAATTTTATTTCTCAGACGTGTTTAGGTATTTAATTTTGCGCAACAGAAATAAGGATCTTTAAAATAATCTACAATATCATTCTAATGAAAAATGTTTTCCCATTACTATTTGGTAAGAAACAAATAGTACCATTCAGTTGACAAACAACATAAGCAAAATGATTTATTCTTCTCAACATTTATGGAATATATATAAAATGTAACTCTATTCCACCCATTTTTAAAAGGTGCTAGAGAGCCTAATTAAAAAATCCATTAAAGTTCTGTTTTCAAAGTTTCCCTATTTTTTGGTTCATAAGTTTATTGGTCAATCTTGTAAAATATAAATACTATCGTGTAGTTTTGATTTTATTACACTTTGAAAATATCAGGTACCGTATTTGATATTAGATTAAGTTAATAAATACTTTATTTAATAAGATTAAACAATTAAAATTAAACACTTTTTCAGTCCCAAACGGAAAATGAGAGATTCATAATGTTAAAAGAAAAGAAGTTGACCCTATGGTGTGTTTGAACCCACGGCCAAGTTTCAATGAAGTTGACAATAGTTCTAGCCTATTTGAATAAATTATTGTACTCTTCAAAGCGGAGGTAATGCATTACGATGTTCATACCTTAATATACAAGTAGAATAGGCATTTAAGTTGTAACTCTATCTTAACTGAAATAATAAGAGACACAAGCTGATTGACATATGGATAAGGGCATTATATCAACAAGTGACATGAGTGCATGTATACAAAGCTGCTAAGAGTGTTCAGCAGACAAATAATTCGACCTTAATTTAAATAACATAGGAAATGTTTTTTTGTGTTTTTTTTTGCAAGATGGCATGGTGCGGAGAAATTAACTGGGAGCTCAATTACCCTTTAGCCATTCCGTGAATGCATCCCTATTTATTGCTGGAACAAGAGCCATGTATTTAGAATAATCATAAAGCACAATGATACGAGCTAAAACTCATCGTGTTAATTTGAAATTCAGGCCATAAGTCATGTAAGTGCTATCAATACAAATAACTTTATTCAGATATTGAAAGTTATTCAACTATATTTTTTTTCAAATCGCTCATAAAGAATATGCATAGATGAAATTAATGTATTCAGTACATGGTTTCTGAAAAAAGGCCCTTCTAACATTTTAGCGTCAGTTCGGATAAGTGGACATAACTCGATTTCCATACGATAAAGTTTGTTGAAATTGTGCATACAGTTTAAGGTGTATATTTGACCTATGTTAATTAATAACTTTTCAGTTCCTCATAGTGCCCGTTAGGATGGTCATACCCTTTTTTATGGTGATAAATGTTCACAATTAAATATATCTTATATACAGACAACACTGTTCCATCGGATATTTGACATGTATATATTAAAATCTATTTGATGTTTGGGTTAATGAGGAGAACTAAATGATATTTCTTGAATATGTTCCTCATTCATTCCATTCATTTCATCAACTTCCTGGATGTTTGCGAACTGTTCGTTAAGCACTTCTATTAGGTATGTTAAGCGCTTCATAGGACGAAAATTCATTTACTCCCTGCTGAAGTCTCTCATAATGTGTTTGGCTGAAATAAAAACAAAAATTGATCAGAACATTTAAAGTTTTGAATGAATCACATTGCCTTTTTCTAAAATGCATAGAATAATACAATGACCCATACAATTTTGTGAAACAAAACATATTTGTCATACACGAAATCATTTGGAAAATTAATCGTGTTTCAATGAAATCATTTTCTCCTATAATATTTCAGTATTTCAAAGCCATTCATGTGCATTTCGTACTCAAGAAGCAGTTCTAGAATTTCACGTAATGTTGTTACACAAAGTTCCCAAATTAAAACTGTATTGAATTCTCCTGACCTTTTTATCTTGTTAACAGAATCGGCTGAAAATATTTAAAATGTTGATGTATAGTTAAAAAATCTAAGCAAGGTACATTGAATTATTCTCAATGAAGATCATCACAATAAGTTTATAAAAGTACCTTTATTTTTACATAAGTTCTATCAATACAAATAACTTTATTGATATATTTAAAGTTATTCAACTATATATAATTTTTTCAATCGCTCATAAAGAAAATACATAGATAAATTTCATGTATTTAGTACATGGTTCCCGAAAAAAGGCCCTTCTAACATTTAAGCGTCAGTTCAGATAAGTGGACAAAACTCGTTTTCCATACAATAAAGTTTGTTTAAATTTTGCATACAGGTGTCCTTTAAGGTGTTTATCTGACCCATGTTAATTAATAACTTTTCAGTTCCTTATAGCTCCCGTTGCGCGGGTTATTCTTTAAGTGATTTTCTGGTAATAATTGAATGTTCACAATTAATAAGTCTTACGTACAAATAACATTGTTCCATCGAAATATTTGATCTAAATATATTAAAATTTATTTGATGTTTGGGTTAACTAGGGGTTATTAATGATATTTCTTGATTATATATGTTTTTATTCATTCCATTAATGTCACCAACAGCTTGGATGTTTGCGAATTGTTCGTTAAGCACTTTTATTAGGTATGTTAAGCGTTTCATAGGACAATAATTCATTTGCTCCCTGCTGAAGTCTCTCATAATGTGTTTGGCTGAAATAATAAAAAAAATAGATATGAACACTTAAATTTTTAAATAAGTAACATAGCCTGTTTTTGAAATACATAATAAAATAAATTGATCCATATAATTTTGTAACACATATTTATCTTACACGAAAATCATTTGGAAATCGTGTTACCATATCAATGACATTGATTTTAACTATTATTATATTTCAATACTTCAAAGACACTCATGTGTATTTAGTACTCAAGAAATAGTTCCAGACTTTCACGTAAATGTTGTTACATAAATGTCTTAAATAAAGATTCTATTGAATTCTACTGACCTGCTTATCTTGTTACCAGAATCGCCTGAAATTATTCAAAATGTTGATGTATTGTTAAAACAGCTAAACATGGTCGAATGAAATATTTAAAACGAAGGTCATCACAATAAATTTAGTAATGCATCTTTATTTTTACATGTCAGATGATAAATGTCTGCTCTAAATCAAGGTAATTGATAACGATTAGGATTCCATACAGTACAATGTAATAAGGAAAGCAATATTTCTGCAGCATAAAAATACGCATACGATTTAGTACGTAAAATCAAAAGTGCTTGTCGCATTGATTTGACCTAAAATATGTTTAATCTTGTTATTCATGTTATATTTTATCCAAATATTAAAAATATGTAAAATAAAAGAAAACATATTATGTTTCTGTTAAATTGTTATAGACAAGGTGTGCAACATCCAAGTACGAAAATAATTGGTATGCCCATTCTCGGTGTCATTTTTTTGCCGGATTTTTTGCATGGAATCAATGCAATACATATTTTTCTATCAAAACTGACTATGAGCAAATCTTCAGAAAAGCAGAAAAGCCCAAAAATAAGATTTTGCCCAGGATGAGACCGTCATGACATGTTACGATTGAAATGCATCAACAGAGAGACCAAATGGGTCAAACACACATGCAACTGGTTTTTATATACTTTTTAATGGCCTAATGCTCCACGAGTGAAACTAAGTCTTATGTGCCTGTATGTTAGAAATGATTCTACATGTAGACGATATTTACAGAAGGTAAATCCTACCGGAAGTATTCTCCGTCTTCCGTCCTCCACGCACCTGTTGAGGGAGAACACTTCCAATTTCGGAATTACCTTCTACATGTAGAATCTTTCTTGATATGCAGTCACATATAACTTATTATGACCCCTGGAGCATAAGACCATTAAAGTATGTAAAATTTTTACACCTAGGACGGAAATACCCATAATTTCTTACTTGGATGTTACCTTGTTTATAACAATATAACAAAAATAAAAATAAATCAATTTTAAGATTTCTTAATGTATGGATATAATATTACATGAATAACACGATTAAACCAATTTTAGATCAAATTGATGCGACTAAAACTTTTTTGTGAAATGAATCTACTATCGTAATCTTCAGATCCTTCTATACTTGGTTGTCAAAATACTTGCTTGGGAATTCTTTACTAATGGACGAACGAGCACAGTTAAGCAGAACTAGTTGGTGGATGAACATGATATAATAAATACTACTTGAATTGATTTTTCCAGCTTGAGGAGAATTTATTGTTAAAAGTAATAATGTTTTTATACCAACACTATATTTAGGACAAAACGAGTACTTTCAAACATTTACCTTTCAGAGTGTCATAATTTGCTTTGTTTTCCATTTCTGTCCGGTTTTGAAGTTGCTCGTACATGTTTCTAAAAATAATAATTACATTCAAACTTATATCCAATCATTACGGCGATATCGATATGGCCCAATTGTCCTTGTAAGTAGCCCAATAAATCATGACTTTTCAAACAGACTATGTAACATAGTTTGTTGTTTGTTTGTTTGCTGTTTTTGTGTCCACCTATGTCTGACTCAATCTCCGAATATTGTTCATAGTCATATTCTTAACTAAAACGAAATATTAACAACATTTACAAGTTTAACTTAAAGATTTAGAAAAATATATTACTTACGATGTTGATAAAATGTTATTAAACACAGTTTCCTGAGCCTGTATAGAGTGTAGTTGTTCTTGCTGCGACTGACCTATTTTGTTAGTATACAATATCATCAAATTGTGCCTTTTAAAATTATGTATGTTACTATATTATAAAATAAATTTTGCCTTGTTATTTTTTTTACAAATTTGGTCATATCGAAATACTTCACAGCACTTAAGTTTTGATACCATTGTTTTTGACCTTTTGAGAAATCAGATTTTTATCACTTTAATGGTCGTTGTTAAAAGCTAGATATAAGTAGGTATAAATAATAAATTATTATCACATAAATGAAGTAATTTGATTGAAATCTAAAGCGTTTGGTAAAAAATTAAACATTGTTACATTATACAAACATTATTTCATGGCACATATCATGTAAATAACTAGACAATAGTAAGAGATTTTTGATAATTTACCAATAGGTAATCGTAATTTTTAGGCTATAAAACGGGAAAGTGATAAATTGGAGGCACTTTATAAAGAATATACACGTTATTTGTATTGTTATTATATCTATTTTTAAATAAAAACACAAAAGTATGCAATATTCGCATTATAATTATCTTTTTAGTAGGGTATATGAAAATGCAAGTATGTCAGGAATAATTATTTATGCAAATTATATATTTTTAGTAGATAATTACCTTGAGACTTTCGTTTCCTATACAGAACAATCCAGGTACAAAGCATGCCAGTAAGAATTCCAACGACTAGCGAAACAACAATAGCTCCAACCATTCCACTCATTGATAATTCGATATCGTTATAACCTGAAATTTATATATAAATATTCCATTTAATCTGTCAATAAATAACTTAATAAAATGTATGTAAGTATAAGTTTTTTTCAAGATATATAGTATTATAATTACAATGATGGGATCACTGAAATCGCTTGGTATAATTTTTCTCAGCTGCACTTATATTGCTTATAGTGAGAGACGCATCCACATTGTCTTAAGGGAAAACAAGTAAAGGTACTAAATAATACGAGTCAAGCATCTAATACGAGTCAAGCATCTAATGTATACACGCTTCGAATTGACATTTTATCATTTAATATGGGCCGACTTTCGCTTTGTTATAAAAATGTATTGGGGATTATCTGCGGTTAATGTAGGTTCTACTTTTTTCAGGAATCTGTAAAAAACTCTTCTGATTTTCTATTTAGTGTTTGATTAGAAAATGAGATGTTGAAAATAAAATTAAATAGCATAAATGAAAAATGATTAAGGCAATAAAGGAAATGTTCCTTCATGCAAAAAGTATTTATCTCACATAATTTGACTTGAGCTGTTTATCTTTTTTGTAATTTAGAAATATATAGAGGATATTTGATTGTTTGTGTGTAAGATGAAATTTTATTTCATCGAGTGGGCTTTAAAAACAGTATTCTCACGAGTGGCGTAGCCACGAGTGAGAATACTGTTTTTAAAGTTCACGAGATGAAATAAAATTACATCTTACACAACAAACAAACAAATTTTCTTTTTATTTTATGCTTAAAAACAAGTTAAAACGAAATTTCCCTAATATTTACGTTAATATTAAAATCTGTTTTCCCCTTTGAGAGCCTCAAAAAGTCGAATTTCTCATTAGATACAAGAAGTCATGGGCTGAAAAATAAGTTCCACAATCAACGTTAAATGGTGGTGATAGTATTCATTTTATTAAACAAATATGTCTGATCGCTTGTTTAAATAATAAAAACAAACAATTCTAGTTGGAGAAAAAGTCCAACCATCCATCCATATTTCTGTTACTGACTGCGAATTTATATTAGACCTTGCTTTGTTAAATGTAAGCGGCCGCCATTTTTAAAGTAATTTCACTAAAGGAAAATAATTGTGTTTGATTCAGGGGGATATCATTTGGATTTCTTAGTCATACACCTTTTTAAAAGATAGAAAACTTATTTGAGGATTGTAACAGACAATAAATAAGTGTTGACAGATGTGTAAATATTCAAAAAAGTGGATAGGAAAGTGGAAATTTTGGAAGCCTTACGAACGCTGGGATTTTTACATATTCCTCGACTGAAAGCTGCCATTGCTTTTCAAGTTTTCATTAAGCATACGGCAGTTTTTGCTCGTAGGATACTTAAATATTCCCAAATGTCATCAAGAGCAGTTTTGCATGTGGAAGGAGTGATTTTTCAGACTGTAAAAATGAAACAAAAAATTAAAGAGACGATATTTGGTGATTGGTATTTTGAATGAATAGAAGTAACATACTGTAAGTTTTCTTCTTTTTATTACTTTTGACATATAAGTTATTTATCAATTTCACTTTTGTTTTTCTTTAAACAGCCTGACATTGTCGGAATAGTCAGAAAAAATAAAATTGAGGTACCACATGGGGAAAATCTTAAAAAAGTAGTTTCGTCATTGAAAAGTGTGAAAATATATTTTGATAATTTTCACTGTGAAATTATCAAATATAATTTTCACGGATAAATCAGTAATCCACTGAAAAGCATAAAATAAATGTCAATAAATGCACTGAAACTCTTCTTTCAAATATATTTTGTTCTGTCTGAAGGTCCAATATAAGTTATTTCAACGCACTTTAATGTCAAAGAAAATCATTCATAAATTACCTTTCGTGACGTCGACTGGGTTTCTTAATGTCGTTAGCTCATCTGCAAATGGAAATGTCATCATAATATTATCGACCATGAAGCAATACTTATTAGAAAATAACTTTGTGAAATGTTTTTTTCTTCTTCATTTTTTAAATATGAAATAAACAGCACTGGAATTTAAAAGAAAAGATTAAGATAAAATCAATTTTATGATTTAACAAAACGTGTGGTTTAAACGTTACGAACTCCATGGTATTGAAAAAGGATTTCAAAGGATTAAATGTGAAACATTGATTGTTTTTGTTGTTATGATAAATAAATGATATTTTATAGTTTCAGTATTTTAGAAACATTCCAATGCTAAAAGAACGTGCGGATATAGAAAACAGTTTATAAACTTGTACATAGATTCAAAAAATGTTCAAATTCGAAAACCGCATTACACTTTAGAAATTTATGGACCTAAGGAAATTACTTATTAGTAATTGTGTTTTTCGATTGAGTGAGTTGGATCTTACATCTATTTGACGATTTGAGACACTGACAATTGATGATACATTAATGTAAAAACTAGAACTATCGCTTAATGGGATTCATACCCCCACAAATGTCCTTGACATAATACGACTTGGAAAGGTGGTTATGGGCACAAATACATATACATAAAAAAATTATCTCTTGCGAAAAAAAGACAAATTGTACACGCAGGTAAAGTATAAATATATATTGTCAAATCATGTTCGAAACAGTTACAAATAACCTTTCATTTTCCCAATGTACTAAAACAAACAAACATAAGTAGTGAAGTTAAGAAAATGGCATAATTATGTCAAAATGTAATTAAGAGTGGAAAAACTTTGCATACTGAGCTTACTTGTGACCCTTCATATATAGTTTTAAGTCAAGTGAATATCTGTTCTAGTTTCAAAACATTTAGTATTAATGGTTATATCAGAAAATTTTCTAAGCCTAAAAGGGGGCATAACTTGTGTCATAATTCAATGGAATTGTAGAATTTTTGTCATCTGAGCTTGCTTGTAAACCATTCATATAAATTTTAATTTCAAGTAAATATCTGCTCTGGTTTATGAAATATTATAGTAAATAAATTTAAAGACATGAAAAAAGACTTAACTTTGTCAAAATACAATACAAAGTTATCCCCAACATTTTTTTAGTTATGAAACTTGACCTGCATATCTTACTTGCGACACTTTGTATATATTTGAAGTTTCAAATGATAATCTGTTCTAGTTTTAGAAATATTCATGTACATATTAAAATTTCAGAACATTTTCTAAATCAATGTTCGACTCTGTGGCCTTGACCTTAAGCTGGCACAAGGGTAAGATGGGTTTTGCACATTGCCTAGTTGAGATGAACATTTGAGCCAAGTTTGAAGAAAATTCTTCAATTGGTATAGGATTTATAGAGCCGACACAATAATGGAGACGGACGGACCGACCGACGCGACAAAGCGAATCCATTATAGCCACCCCCAACACATTTATTGGTGGGGGATAATAATATAATAATACTAGAATTATAACGGGAATTGTCTAAGAAAGACTTTGAAAGACATAAAACAAACTTTCTACGATATGATATAGTGCCATAAATCAAAACCAAACACTATACCGTAAAAGTACTTATTTCTGCGGGCTTAATATTCTGTGATTTTTGTTAAAATAAGGGGTTTAAAATTTCTGCGTATCTTATTTCTTCGGGGTCATCATTCTCGCATTGATGCGTCTTAATTAAGATATTTTTGCAAAATTAACCGATAAATACAAACAACATTTCAAAATTTGTTGACGTACCATGTTCCGGATAACCTCCAGACAACAAATAATGTGTTTCTTCGTAATCAAATTGTATCGATATATACACGTTAATAAACACAAATAAAAACGTGCTTTGGCAACCAGTTTTATACTGTATTGAATAAATATGAAGTGTGAAAAATAAATAATGGCAAAATCGCACGTAGTGTACAAATACAAAAGGATATGTTTATTGCACGAACAGTTTTATTTTACTAAAAAGAAATCAAGATAGGGTGAGCGAAAATCATACAAACATGATATTTATTTGGGAAAAATGAACAAGCAAAGTAACAATTTTTTTCTAATAATAAAATCACGACTGATACATAAAGAAAATTTCCCTTTTACAAAGGGTGATAACGGTACAGGGTAATGTATTTATACAATACCGGTGGTTGACATATTCCGACATACCGAACAGGGAAAGGCTTAATTTTCTGCGGTTTTTAAATCTGCGGTGTCGTTATGAACCGCAGAAATAGCAGACATAAAGTTCCCGCAGAAAAAAGTACTTATATGGTATTTAATGTAAATAACAAAGCAACATACTAGTATTTGTGTTCAAATGTAATTTACACGATCATCACTCGTATTGGCATTTGTCTGTTTAATTTAAATACAAAAAACTTACTAGCGTCAGCGAGAAACCTTGGGTTGTCTTTAGTTACAAAGGAGTTTCCATAAATATCTCCACTTAGACTTATATAACACTCAAATCCAATGTCGTTTTCTCTATCAGTATCAACATCTGATGGTTCAATTTTATATCTTATAGAAGCTACTCTGGTATACCCACATTGACTGTTACTGATTGCAGTTCCATCATCGTTTGTACCCGGTGCTGGTTGGTAATCGATAAACTGATCTGTTGATGTGTTTGCTGGTGCCCTACGCCACCTAATTATTGTTTCCGGTAAACTTCCTATGTTAGCAGTGCACGTGAGCTCTATAACATCTCCTACATTACACGTGACCATTTTCATAGATGACGATTTTTGTACAAGAATACCATTCATTCTTGCTATCAACGATGTTATTTGAGGCTTATCTGGAAAATAGTAGTTCAGAATAATAATAATTGGAAATTGGTGACACAGATGTAGAAAATGATTGACTTTAATATATTTTATATATATATATATATACAAATTATTGATTTTTGTAAATCTTCAATATCATTATTTTCTATCTGATCAAGTAAGTTTTAGAAACATAGAAATAAAAAATAATACACGGTTGATAAAAAAGTTATAAACAGTAAAGAAGACATGTATATGATACAATATTCTGACTTATTGTTTGAAAAAGCTATACACTGTAATCTTTTTACAATGTCAATAAACTATTTTAAATTGATTTGAGCTCATGTCGAATTGATGCAAGCGTTTACGACATTGTAAATGTACTTACCATAAACTTTAAAACTGCCCATATTTTCAACAGATACAATACTTGCGGATGAAGAGCTTTTATAAATCAATCTACATTTGTAGGCTCTAGCATCATCACAAACTAACTTCTCTATGTTCATAGACAGTGTAAGATATGTACTAACAGGTGTTATCTTGCCCCATGAACCTCCAGCAACGTAATCCTTAGCACTTGCATTAATAGCTGGACTCAAACTTGGTCTCTCGGTTTGTCCAAAGTGCATTTCAGCTAAGCTATCCCAATTACTGGGATTTGTCTCTGAAACACTTTTGGATTTTATTCGTAATATCTGTATATTGAAAACATAATCAACATCTGTTTCTGTTATATGACAAATCATGGTCAATGTTCCTGAACTACCTTCCAAAACTTTATCGTTGGATATGGTAAAGTCTAAGGTGGTAACTGAAAATATACAAAGAAAGTATTTTAAGTCTTTGAAATTTGAATAGATGTAATAGGTCTTAAATGCTTTGTTTTCTTTATATGTTATATTATGTATCTATTTATAATACCTGAATCATTTATCGCTATCAGGATAAATTATCCGGACATTTGATAATGATTAACATGCATTATAAATATTTTTGCACTTTATAATGCACACATTTTAGTGAAGTCATTAATATGATTTAATTACCATTACTATTATTATCTTTTTACTGTTGTTGTTGTTGCTATTACTACTATTATTATTTCGCTTATACATTTTTTTCATGAATTTGTATATGTTTCTTTCTTACCTTTGACTAGACATAGAACGATAATGAAAAGAAACCATTTAAAATTTCCAAATGCGTTGCTAGGCGAAAGAAACATTTTAGATCTATTATTAAAACAGTTTAACATCGACACTATCAATAAAATGGTATAATGTTTATACGCGTTTATTAACATGTAAATATTGAATTTGTTTATCTGAAATAATCAGTAAACATCCTGTTTATGTTTAAGAAGTTGCCCCTTCTCTTCCTGTTTTCATTTTCAATATGTTAGCCACTTAAAAACTCATAAACAATTAAGTCAAGTTGTAATTTGTTGTGTGCTTTTTTGTGGACAAATATTTGATATACTATTCTCAATCAACAGCTTTTCTTCACTCTTTATTTTTCATTTCAAATCGAAAGGCATGCCATATTCTTGTAAGGAGTCCATTTCTTGAAAATGCAATGAATAAAGAACGTTATATCCTGACTAAATAAGAGAACATGAATTAATAAAGTATGTAATGTTCTTTTTTCTAAATATGATTTTTACTTTTTAATTTCAAGTGTTATCCGTCTATACAAAATTAACGTGATGGTGCTGAGAAAGGCCTTTTATGTAAATGATCAATTTGACTTTGTGCCACACTTGTGCAGCTGTTTCATTACATTTCTCTACATTAATGTTGTCCATAACCTGTTAAGTAAGAAAACGAAAAAAAAGGTTTTTATTTCAAATTCATTTATTGTATGTCTTAAGACAGTCGAGAGTCTTGGTCGTAAATTTTGTCGGCCGTCTGCTTCGTTTTTTTTTTCAAGAAAGAAATTGATGAAGATTAAACTGATATCAAATCATGTCGACTATAAATAATTCTTCATAAATTGCATTAATGTTTATATACACTTGTATACATAATTATATCTCTAGATAAAATATTTTTCTCGTTCTGTCAGCTCATTTTGCTCGCAAGGACCTATCACTCGTCTGCTTAAGACTTTTTAGATAGCTTCACGCGCATGTATAACATATGGAATATATTGTTTTGTTTCAGGACTGAAAATAACTTTTTTCTTCTAACCAGAAGTTTTCTTTTTTTTTCTATTTCAAAACATTGATTTGAAATATTTTTTTCTAAGTTCACATCGTTTATAAATGCATTTCATATATCTATGTGTAATGCACTTTGTATATTAAAAGTCATTTTGGCAGAAGGTTGCAGAAAACATGGGTTTTGTGAACAGTGCTACATAAGCATTAATATATCCAATATATATTTTCTTCATTTCAGAGAAAAACATTAAACTAATAATGACATTAGACGGCTAAATTCAGAACACCCCTTCTAATGGGTATGCAATCTAAATGATGATACAGAGTTTACATGTGGTCAGCAAAATTTTCTTTTTGTTTTTCGTTTTTTTATTCTTTAAGTCCGGTCAGATTATTTATTTTTTTATTTTGTTTTTATCATTTTTTTTTGGAAAATTGTTAAATAAAGATATATTTAGATTCTATATACATGTTAGAATTTTCATACATGTACGTTTTGATGTAAAATGAGTTAAAATATGGTAATTTTACAACTTGATGTGTTTAAAGTTTGATCGTTATCCTCCCTCATTTTTGCACAAAAATGCACAATCTTAACTAGATATTATACATATGAACTTCAAGATACAACGATGTCACATTGATAGATGACAAATGTGATTGGCTTTCTTTCTTCTTCACCCACCCTCTTTCTTGTTTATCAAATCTTACATTAATCATAATTTGTTAAGATATTCTTTTTTCATATAAAAGCTATAGGTGTTTTTACCACTTGAAAACTGAGATAAAGATGAAATAAATAAAACTGTCCTTTAATTAACTGTTAATACCACATGTGTTTTTGTTGTCCTTTATAACAGATATAAAAGTTAAACCTAAATCTTAATTATTTTTCAATCGATATGGTTTGATATCTCTTGTATATGTGTCAATACTAAAATTCTGGAAACAAAGTGATCCCTCGGAAGCATTAATCACAACAAAATTACAAGAGAATTGCAGACTCGGTTTGATTGAGTCTGTACATGAGGGATACTGAATAAGTGCAACATCCCTCACGCCCCCTAGCACCGGCTTGAGCGGTACTCAATTCTCAACACTTAATAGTGCTGGCATCAATGATCCCGAAGGACCAGAAAATATAACAACACTGAAGTGAAGTACGGGGCAACTTTTTACAGCTGCCACACGGCACTTGACACCTGCTGTTGTGAAGCATAAAACAAAATATAATCATGAAAAGTTAAATGTCACTTAAAAATTGTCAATGATAATATAAGATTCTTAAATCTAAAATGAGAATAAGAATTACATGGTATCTTTTAGTTTTTTAGTCTATATTTTTAATAATATCAACAACTTAAATATAAAAGTGCAGAAGAAAATAATGAAACTACTAAACGATAAGAGCTGGTAAACTCTACAAAACAAGTAGGTATTATATCCAAACTAGTTTTACCTAGTTTGTTTATTTTGAATGATCTCAGAAACAATAATAATATTTGTTTTGAACGTTACACCAAGGATAAATCACGAAACAAATATACTGATTAAATCTTGATACATATCAGTAACCGGAAATAGTATAAACATAACCAGTGAATAAACAACTATTTACACCATTAAATATATTAAATATTCAGATGTTTTCACTTCCACATTAAAAGTGCACATACGCTGTTGAAAGTAGTGAATTTTGACAATTTGTATTTAGTTAGTGTGTTTTCATGATGAAAAGTATCATTTATTTATTTTTTGGATTTCTTCAAATCATTTCAGTGACATTTTTGGTCACTGGATCAGGTAAATACATGGAATTTATCATTAATTGCAAATATTGCTACTATAACTTTAAATGTGAACATTGTGATGATAATGATTCTGATAAGTTTTATTTTAATTTGTTGACGACCATTGTGATAACAGTGATGTTAAGTGTAATAATGACTTTCGCACTATTCATGGTATTTTCAGAGACTACCTATGGCAACATTGATGATAATCGTTATATTGATTAGGACTATATTGAGTACGTGAATAATAAAGATTGTAGTCTCACGTGTTGATTAAAAAGATGATTTCGAGAATGAGCGCGGAAGGTTCGAGCGGGCCGGCAGTTCAACATGAACCAACTAGAAACATTAAAGATAGAGATTTAAACTGCCTGCGTATCATTACTTCATAATGAATCACACATAAGCGAAAAAAATACAAGTTACAAAAAAATTGCCATTGTTTCAAAATAAATAAAACGCATAACCAATTTTAACGTGACTTTTTAACAATTTGTTGACAAAATTTCACCATCAGACCATTACGTAAAATAATTTATACAATTGTAAACCAAGAGTATAATAATATACGCATTACCATTAACATCTTAAAATCTTTTGTTATTCTGAGTTGACTGCAACGTCCGGTAGCTACTGTCGAACATCGTAGTAAATCGCCAGTCATTAGTTAACGTCTCGGCGATTGGCGTCAACAACGTCATTGAACATGTTTTTTTTCTTTCTACCACTCCCTTATTTGTTCTCTATATCTCTAATAACTTTTTTAATCGTTTATGCCTTTCAAAATCTATGTGTTGGCTTCCTGGAACTTTGCCCTTGAGAGCCATAATACTTTTCTATGTTTAAGACAGCTTTTGCCTTACTTTTGACAAAAATTCTCTTATTGATTGATTTTCAAGACGTTCCGACGACATAGTATTAACGCAGCTTTTTCTTTAACAAGACGTTTGAATTGTGATTGCAACTATAAATGTAGTTTTTATAAAGCCATTTTTTTATGACAATGTCAAAGATATGGCTAATGACGTTTTGGTATATTTTGAAATCCAAATTTGCCCTATTGTAAAATATACGTATCATAAAGTGTCTTTTGTCAGCGCAAGTTTACGCACTGCGCCGATTTGAGTGACCGTGAATTTTTAAATTTGCTGTTACGGACAAGCTATTTCCGGTATCAGATTAGATATGGTGTCAGTTTGTATGTATTCATTTCCGATTAAGTGTGATATATAAAAATAAGTGATTATTTGAAAATTTTCCAATTATTGACAGCCCAAGTCACGTTTATTGTTGTACATCCCTCTTAATAATAAAAACAATAACATAATTTAAAGATATACATTTCTTGTAGTTTTTACAGAAAAGTATATTTTTTTCAGGGGCAGAATGCTCAACAATATTTGCGGACCTCTAATATTTTACATACATCTTTTTATACCCCCGCACAACAAAGTTGTAACGGGGGTATACTGGAATCAGCTTGTCCGTCCGGCTGTCCGGCCGTCGGGCGTCCGTCGGTTTTTCTCTTGTCCGCCCGATAACTTTAGAATCCTTTGACCCACAGTCTTCATATATGGCATGGAGGTTAGTCATGATTAGAAGATGACCCTTCTTAATTTAGAGGTCACCAGGTCAAAGGTCAAGGTCACGGGGGACTCGACTTCAAAAAGCTAGTCCGCCCAATAACTTAAAAATATTTTGACCCACAGTCTCCTATGACCAATAGTTTTCAGATTTGGCATGGAGGTTAGTCATGATTAGTAGATGACCCCTATTGATATTAATGTCACCGTGTCGAAGGCCAAGGTCACAGAGGCCTTGACTTCAAAAAGATTGTCAGCCCAATAACTTAAAAATATTTTGACCCACAGTCTTCATATTTTGCATGGAGGTGAGTCACGATTAGTAGATGACCCCTATTGATTTTGAGCCGTCACCAGGTCAAAGGTTCAAGGTCATAGAGACCTTGACTTCAAAAAAAGCTTTTCCGGCAATAATACTTAGAAATATTTGAAACCCACAGTCTTTCATATTTGGCATTGAGGTGAGTCACTATCAAAGATGACCCCCCTTTTGATTTTGAGGTCACCAGTCTGAGGAAAAGGGGTCACAGGGCCTTTACTTCAAAACCCGCTTGTCCGCTCAATAACTTAAAAAATCCATTGACCCACAGTCTTCATATTTGCTATGGAAGGTTAGTAAATAATTAGTAGATGACCCCTATTTGATTTTTAGGTCACCAGGTCAAAGGTAAAAAGGTCACAGGGGCCTTTGATTTCAAAAAGCCTTTGTCCGCCAAATAAACCTTAAAAATTTCCATTGGACCCCAACAGTCTTTCATATTGGCATGGAGGTTCGTTCATGAATTAGTAGGATGACCCCTCTGATTTTGGTCACCAGGGGTTCAAAGGTCAAGGTCAATAGGGCATTGATTTTAAAAAAAAGTTTGGGCCCGGGCCCAAAAAAAATTTAAAAGAATTTTTTGGGAACCCAAGTCTTTTTATTTGGCAGGGAGGTTTATCTTTGACCTTTAGATGCCCCATTTTTAAATTTTTGAAGTCATTTGGGTTTAAAATTTCAAGGTCCCCCCGGGGGGCCTTTAAACTAAAAAAAAGTTTGTCCGCTAAATTTGTTTTCGGGCCCTTTGGTAAACATTTCTTCAAAATTTGGAAATTGTGGTTGTTTTTAAATAGAAGATGCCCCCTTTTTAAATTTGCCTGTCCCCCCAATGTTTTTGTTTTTTGACTTTTTCACTTTTGAAGCATGAAATACAAAAACTTACAACACTAGCTTAGAAAACCCTCATTTTTGCGGGAGGTTTTTTGACTTCCAAGGGTCACTTTAAATTCCGCCCAAATTTGGTATGCGGCGGGTATTTCACGCCATGACAGTGGCAGTTCTAGTTATTAATACTATAACAATAACAACATTTCATTTGTATAGGAAAGCCATCGGCCCATTATACATTTACAATACCAGAAATTCCCACTGTTGTAGAGAGATGCACCACATTATTTTAGAAAAAAACAACACTTTTACATAGTGAAAAGCAAGGGTATCTCAGTTTACTATTGTATGAAATCCAACCTACATATAATTTTAAACAATCCTTGTTATTATTGTAACAGCTTTTACCATTTGACAAACCATCAAGCATAATGCTACCAACATTAAACCCAGGTATAAATCTCTTGGCCTGCGAATAACTTTTTACACTCCACAAAATTTCATCCTCTACCACTGTTTTTTTGATAACTTAAAAACAAATAGATTACATACTCCTTTTCATCTCTTGGTATCCCCATAGTGTCTTACCAAAAGTATGATACCCCAGTTTAATTGACTCGAAACATCTGAATTTTACCCAAAGCTTTTTTTGATAACCGAAGAATACATAAATGCGACATCCAATCTTAAGTATAAACTCTTCATTCTAACAAAGGATTTAAAAACCTCTTGATAATGATTAACAATCTAGAAGAGATATAAATGAAAAAATTTATTCAGATTCCGTTCCTGTGTAAAGGACAAATCAGAAATTTGGGCCGTTTTAATTTATAATAAATATGGTGATTATCACCTAAACAATCTTGGGGACAGCCAAATACAAAATACAAACCAAAATTTAAAACAGAGATTTTCTCGAATCTCTGATGCTTTATGTGTACCGGTCTTCCCCAAAGTTTCATCCTAAGTTTTTTAATGATCAGGACGACAGTTTTTATGATAATTTTATGATTCGGCATTAAAGGCATTTAAATTTAAACCCACCAAATTTTCTTACAAATTTTTAGTAGAAAAAAATACAACCCCGGGAAAACGACCCACATTCGCCAAGCGCTTACCCCATCGTTGAATTGTTTTTTATTAATTTTAATCCAGAAATTTTTCTGTATAATAACTTTTACTTTGAAACCTCTCTCCTGTGATTATGAAGGAATATTTTTCAAATCCCCATATATCTGATCCGTAACAAAAGTGTAGGTGTTAAAAAACCCATTGAATCAAAACACCTTTAAAATAATTTCCCAAAAATATTTAAAATATCCAAAATTTTGCCTTTGATTACCCTTTCTTATGTTTTCAATAAGACAAGATTTTGTTGCTTAAGACGCCAACTTATACGAGTGCTTGTGTTTTTGGGCCATTGAAAAATTTAGGGGTGTTGAAAAGCAGAGACCCATACATTTAAATAATCTGAATGTTAGGTTTATTGTCTATCCCCAAAACCTCCTATGTTTCTCTGAACTGTTTTTAAAGGACCAACCTCTACGGGGAATACTTTTTTTTCTTACCTTGCCCTTATTTGACACACTTATTGTCACATTGTCGCCAAAACGACTTGAAAGCATTAAAGCATGGCGTTGCAAATGTCAGCAAGTGTCTGCAACATTCATCTGCTAATAATTCATTATAATATCCGGAAAATAGTTAAATATTTATATAATGCCACCTATCACAACATTGTTCCCGAAGATAAGTACAATAGGTCATTAATAAAAAGAACAAAAAAATTTAAGGACTAACTTATATCTCCCCGTCTTGTTTCCTTTTGAACATGCGACCATTTAAAAAGAATTGAATTTCAATTACGCCAAAAAATGTTTACCCAAATTATTGTACTTGCAAATCTTTGGGTTTTTAAACTAAAGAGAATTTTCAAGGTGTCTTTTTTAAAATATGGCAGAAAAAAACAAAATTTTATAATCTAACCTATCTGGGAAAAAAAATCCAAAACCCAATTTGGTCCTGCCCCTTTAAAAGTCTCCCCGCAAAAAAATAAAGGGAAAAAGGGTTTTTGGGGGTTTAATTCCCTTTTTGGTAGTAATTTTTTTTGTTTCTCTAATAAATTTAAAATTCCCCTTTTATTCTTATTTTCATATTTTAAAGCTGCTGGGAGGGAAAATAAAAAAACTATCAAACATATTAAAAATTTTCAAAAAAATACCCCTTCATCTTAAAAAATAAAACAGTTTTTCAAAAATATTTTAAAAAATCTTGTTTAAAAATTTTTATTTTTTCAAATGAATTCAATGAACCAAAAACATTTTTCCCATTACTTCTATAAGCACCTTTTTCGCTGTAAATTATCAAAACAATAATAATCATTTAAAATTATTATTATGATTTTCTTTAATTTTAACAGTATCTTATTTCCAAATTGTACAAAACAAACTTACTGCAGTAGACAAGTAATGATAATTTTGAAAAAAAGTATTTTGTAAATCTTTCTTTAAAATAATCCCTTCTAAAATAAAATATCAAATTTGTTCAGTTAACAACTTAATAAGAAAAACAAACCACCTTTTATGGATTTTTAATTCTTAACTTCTGCACGAAGATGTAGGAGGGGCCAATCCGAATGAATCAAATAATCCTTTGATGGATTTGTTTAGTTGAAATCTTGCAGGGGAGTCTATTAGCATATAATCTAGCAAATCATTGTGACTTGTGTTCATTCCTTTCCAAATACGGTACTTGCAATAAAAATAATTACCATGAAAACATTAAGAAAAAAATTCAATCCACTTGCTTAATTTTTCACATTTTATTGCCTAAAACATTAAAATGTAGATAAAATCACATGGATGGTGTGATTATATATTTGTCTATATCTCTGTTTATTACAGTTATAGATATAAAGATTATTCCGGAGACGACATATATGCTAGCTCTTGAGGGAGCCGAGTTTAAACTGGATTGTATTGTAGAATTCAAGGACACAACAAATGTAAAAGTTAACTTTTATAAAGATGGCCTTATGATTCCAGTGGGTACACATTATGGATACAATGTAAGAATATAAATTTTTCAATATTTTACTTCACATATTTAGAAATTAGTAAATAGATAACTTATGGTAGTAATGACAGAGAATTGCATCTTAAGTTTTATCTTAAAACCTGTGAACATAACGATTTCATAGATTGTGTGTCTGCTTTTTTCTGACAGGTAATTGTAAGTCAGACTTTTTATTGCACATTTCCACTGGACTTATATAGGAAAACCACCACAACAATTGATAAAAAAAAATGTCACTGATGCCAGTAAATAGGGGCGGAGCTATGAATGTCGCCCGGGGGGTCCAAATAAAGCTACAGAGGACGGGAACCTATAATGAATCGGATTGAAGTGGTAACTTTCACTGGTAGGCCCAAATACTTTAGTTTTGTTTTATTTCTACTCCTTTCGTCAGTTTAAATAGGGTTTTCGTGAATACATAAAATTATATTTTCTGATTTATTGACGTTTTTATTTGAAAGTTTACGAGGCAAAAAAATTAAAATCACAGAAAAATGACAAAATAACAAAATTAATTGTGTAAAAATTGGGACAAATTTTTTTATAAATGCATGTTTATATATATAAAGAACCTCTGAATCTTAATATCTTGCTTATTTGATTTTATTTGTATTACTATTATTAAACTCCATTGTTAAGTAACTAAAAGCGATAAATCTGAAATCATTTGTTATAAAACTAGTGAATATTGTGAACAAACTGTTATTTTGATTACCATTTTAAATAAATAGTCACTATAACTATATTTCTCGTAAATGTTAAATTGTAGAGAATGTTAAAATGACCTTGCCATATGACCTGAGTAATACTTTTGAATGGTACAGGGCACAGAAAATGATTTTTTTAAGAAATTAAAATTGTAGAAATTTAATAAAGGATAAATGATCGTTTTATAACTGAGTCTTTGATTCTTAATATTAGTAGGGATGGCAACGAGTAACCGGTTAAACGAGTACTCGATCAAAAGTCCGAATATCGGTTATCAAATTGATATTCGATAACTTGGAAATAATATTAATTTTCTACGTTTTTGCTATTTAGAAAGATTAGTTCAGAAATTCGATAATATACACGTATCTGTATAAATACTTTTTAAATGCAATCAAAACATCCTTGCAGAGGTGTGAAAATGATATCTTAAATTTAACGAGGCGACCAGCAGTTTGACTGAACACAGTCCTGTGTCGTTTACATCATTCGGCCTCTTATGATATTTAATCACCTTTAAATATAAGACAGTTTGTAGCCGAAACACGTTCTATATCAAAACGTAAATATATACGGAATAATATGTTGTAGCATTATATTTTGCTACGAGCAGCGGTGAAAAAATTGATATCTCGCGAGACCGAAGGTCGAGCGAAATATCAATTTTCCAACATTGCGAGTAGAAAAATGCATAGGCTCAGAAAGCTGCTACAACATAATTTTCCCTTTATTATATACCTTTTCTTTTGAATCATAGATGATTTTCATTATACAACACTTTTATAATAAATTTCAGAAAATGAAATGAAGATTTATGACCGACGGATGAATACGTAATTTTTGCAAAAACGGCCACGCCTTTTATAATTTTGGTTTCCGTTTCCAAATGCTACGTTCATACGCAGTTAAGATCGGAACCTACGTCAAAAATAGTCTGGCACTTCCATACACGGTACCGTAATTGTCACAAACATAATACGGAATTTTCTATCCGTTGAAGCGTATTTGCGCTTCAAGTTCATCCTGTATTTTAGGGAAAACATTTATAGGTAAATAATAAATTCTGTCATTGACATTTCTTATGTTTATATTTATATATGTATTTCTTGCAGTCCTATTTATAGTCATGAATTCTATGAATTAAAATAGAAAACGAAAATAGCATGCAGACGGTTTTAATATTGTGTGATAAAACTTTAAAGATCATTGCAAGTCATCCGAGTAACCGAGTACTTGATCGGAAAAATGACCGAGTACTCGAGTATTGATTTTGGTATTTGTTGCCATCCCTAAATATTAGCATCATTTTCTTATATACTGTCAAGGTATCTTCACTTCATGCCTAAAATATCAGGTTAATTTGTCAGACACTCTTACTTGTCTGCTTTGCTCATTGTTCCATAATGATCTAAAAAACCCACTTCAGTTTTGATACCATATATAGATAATGAGAGCCTTTACTGCCGTTCAGTTGTACAATATAATTGTGTCTATACTATATTCCATGGCAAACACTTTCGTTAACACACTTCATACAAACACGGGCATGGGCCTTTTTGCACAAGCAGATTGTTTATCACCCACTAGGCAAGCAACCATTAGACTTCTAGTCACCTTGTTCAACCCTCATCCACGATTCAATTGATTGACAAAAATGAGTGTTGTGTGATTTACATTTTGTTATGATAATTAGAATAATTGCCGACATGAATGAGAATATTCTCATAAAATTCGTATGATGTTATTTCTAAATATAGGTTATTTTACTTAACCATGCTATCTTTTATTGTCAGCTAGTGGAGTTGATAGGGAGTTACAAGAGGACGACGGTGAAACTGCAGAATTCCCATGTATTATAAACATCAAAGCTGCCAAAGTTGTTGTTGAACATACAATATTTTGGGAGCGAAATGGGACACGCCTGGCAGATGATGATAAGTACAAAATAACCAACACTACTCTACAAATCTCTAAACCAAGTAATCATTGCCTACTTACTTGAATTCGTATTGTTTGTATTAAATTCCCTTATTAAATTACAACAATTGATTGAAGAAAACTTTGTAGTGAATAATTGCGAGAGTACTACAATACACATTTAATCTCGGCTAAACCAAAAAAAGAACGAGTACATTTTTTTCATAATTATATTGTATTTGTTCTTTAATTTACTAACCTTACTTAAGACAGTCCCTGATACTTATTCACAATTTTAATGTTCCACGTGTTATGATTAAACATGAGTGTTCATTGTAATATAGGAAATCCCTGCAGAGTGTCGTCTTTTCCTATTTGTTTGGTTTTTTAAAACATGCAAATACAGCAAATTTTATATGGTGATTTAACTCGAGCAGGAATACCTCATGTGCATTTCATGCATTATTTCAGGCACGATAGGCATTTTCCTTGCATAAAAAATCATTGTTCATACAAGAATCGAACCAAAAAGTGCCCCACTTGTGAGTTTCTCGCTTGGTTATTTGAAAAATCATAATTAATTATACACGTTTTCAGTGCAACAAATCTAAATCAAAACTTCTTAGCATTAAGCAATCCTGAAACATTTGAACTATAATATTAAAAAACATAGAAACTTTGGAATATTTTGCATGCCAACTAAATGACCCTCTTATGTGTAATATTTGGCAGCACGTGAAGATTTAGGAGCATATCAATGCGTTGTAGTTATGTTCCCTACTTCCATGGTGGAGAAACAGACTGTCCGTATCAATCCATTCTTCCTTAAAGGTGAGTTCACATGATAACTTAGAAAATAATTGTACTTTTTTTTCAATAAATTATTTTCATTTTTATTGAAATCCAATCTAGAATATTGAAAAATATCATGGGAGGAATCAATAAAGTCGGCTTATAGAATGGTAGAGGCTCCTCAAACATTGCATCAATGGGAATCGGTGTTATTTACCAGCAAATCGAATAATAGATGAAATATGTTGTTTCTTTTTTACAAGTTATTGAGAACCCATGGAATTGCAATATTTTAAACTTTGTTACTTGACAAACGTAACATTTTAAAACTTTTCTATCCTTAATAGTAAGTTGATCATGTTTGGAAAGTTTTTAAAAATAGCATCAAACTACATGTATTTCTGTCTGTATCTCTTAAGGGCGATTGTTGGGCTAATTATAGAAATATATCAGAAAGTACAATAAAGTTTATCAAATCATGCAATCAAGAATCTTGATGTTTGAATAGACAAGAGTCATTGTATTTTTTTTATTCATCTTTACAGCAAGTCCAAAAATAGAATCTCATGACAGCGATAAGAATATGGTTCTGGGTGATAACCTCGAGCTAAAATGTAAAGTTTCTGGCTACCCTACACCGATTGTATCTTGGTTCAAAGATGAGAAAGAGATTAAAACTACCAGTAGGATTCATATCCTTGAAAATGAGGGTGCAATGGGCAAGTTGATGATTCATTCTCTTGAAGATGAAGATGAAGGTATCTATAAATGTCTTGCTAAAAATGAAGTGGTACCTTTCAATGCAGATGCAAAGATGACAGTTAGAGTGGAAGGTAAGATTTTCTATCATTGAAGCAGTTGAATACCACATATTACAATGCTGTAGAAATATGAATTGATTTTTTTATTTGCATTTTGTCTAAAAATGAGTTACACGTTTTTGATGTTTTTAAATTGTATGTCCATAAAGTTACCATGCCATTAGATAAACCTCCTAACAATTATTGTAACTCACTAAAATCAGAAATCTTTATTATTAAAACGTAATTTTTTTTCTCCTTTCAGCGCACTATATTTATATGTTTTTTTCGTTTAAAGTAAATAATTTTCCTGATACCAAAATATATTTATTGGGCATGCATTACTACCTCTTATACTTACTACTACTAACAACAACAAAAAAAAAAAAACATTTAATTTTATAAATAAAGGCCTCCGTCCCAAAAACACAATATATTCAATGCAGTTATGCATATTTCAGCTGTGTCTACAATATGTATTATTATAAGATATAGTCAAACTGAATCCCTAAAGAAAGCCCAACACGACAAAATTGAAAATGTTGCAGGGTCGGTTTGATTGAGCCTGTTCATGGCGGTACTGGAAAATGCAAGTTACCGTCCACGCCCCCTAGCACCGACTTAAGCAGAATTCAACATTAAACACGAAACCGGTAAAATTTTGAATTTAGAAACATCCGCAGATGTGTTCATACGGCGGTTATCATAAAGACATTCCTATTTATCTTAATTATAAATAATTTTCATATTGCCATGGACAAAAAAGGCAGAGTTCCTATGTTTTCTACATCAAATTTTAACTAGAATCTATATGACACGTATGCCCCTCTCAGTACTCAACTGTTTTGTCAGTCAATTGACGTACAGCAGACAGTATGATAGAGGAAAAAACAAAGGAAAGTATACATTACAACCATCCATAAGAAGATTTGGCATGGATTCGACATCCACATTTTCCAATGTTTACACCTTGATTTTTCCCAATATTAAAAATTTCAAAATCCAATTTTATATCCTGAAGTATGTTTAAAAGAATATTAAAACAAGCAAACCACAAACCCACTGATGCACAACTATACATGCTGACCAACGGTCAAGTAAAGTTTTATGACTCTATGTCATATCCAGTTTGAGTTACGCAAAACACAAGTTCCAAATTTAACAATCATGGCAATATTGATCAAATATGATATTTGTCAATTAAAAAAAAAAGACTAAATTAGCAAAAACATGAAATCTACTTTTAGCAATGGTTACATTAAAATTGCGTCCCCAAACATAATATCCAAAAAATGTTCCTGCCAGTCAAGAACAAAAAACTGTATATAAAGCAAAACTTTAAAAATCAATTTTAAGCGTCGGTTACCTTGACCTAAGAGCCAAAGTCCACAAGCTTAACTAAAAGCTTTAAGATATGTACCAATTTGGTAACCCATGCAACTGACCCCTTATACGACTATTTCAAATTATATCTGACATTGACCATAGTGCTAACGGACCATTTAAGGTTATATTTCGTTGACAGATATTGCATAAGTCAGAATGTTAAAAAACTTTAAAACACTGGTGACTTTGGTCCAGATTCCACCAAAATTTAAGAGACTACCAACAGAACATTTCTATTAAATACGAAAGATATACTAATTAGGTTAAAAATGTAATATATTTGCAAAGATTTTGCGTTTCTGTTACACCTTTCCTGCGTTGAATAGTTCCGTGTACACGCTGTGTTGACCAATGCTGCTGCACACATATTGATGTTGTAATCTTTAGATATATCTATGTTAATTACAGGGCAGTATGTTATAGATCTAACGATTGTTCCAGAAAAGACATATATGCTAACACTTGAAGGAGCCGAATTAAGACTGGATTGTATCGTACACTTCAAGGGAACACCTTATGTGAAAGCTATTTTTTATAAAGATGGCACCATGCTTCCAGTGGGTACTTTTGGTGGATATCATGTAAGAAAATAAGTCTTTACTCTTTTACAAATCGAAATTGTAAAATTTATACTTTCTAGTTAACTTATGGAATTAATGACACATTTTTATCATAAAGCCCTTATTGTAAAACTTATCTTAACGATTGAATAGATTATATTTTTGTTTTTGACAGGTTACTGTAAATGAAACATTTATTGCGTCACTAAAGTTATATAGGACCACAACAACATTAATAAAAAATGTCACTGATGCAAGTGACAGGGGGAAGTATCAATGTCGCGCCCAAAAAGCTACAGGCGAGGGAATGTACAGTTCGATTGAAGTTATAACCTTCACTGGTAGGCCCAATACTTTTTGGTTATTTCTACTCTTTCTTGTTCTTTTCTATAAATTGTATACCTTTTACTTGAACATATGACTTTTTGATAATTCTGTTAAATGTTTAAAGAAAAGCTTTTTTTAAAACTGACATTTGCTCTGTAGCAGAAATAAAGCATATAATGATATACAGTTGTTTAAAATATTGTAAAGTGCTAGTTTTCTTATATACTTCATCCTTCAAAGACGGATTTTCTATCGCGTAATCTTTAACAATAATAGTTTTTATGCTTTTAGGCAGATATAGCCATAAATTAAATACATAATAATTGTGAATTTCAAATTTTAAGAAAATGAACCATTTTGTTCTATAATGGTGTATTTATATATGAAGAATTTGTGAGAGCCTTATTAGATGCTAAAGAAAATAGCGCTTTTATCTAAAATGATTTGTATTTAAAATAGCAAATTGTTAACAAGGTTGTAGTTGGACTGCCATTTGAAATACAAAGTATATACTATAAAACAATAGTACAATATTAAACACATCTGAGGCTTAACAATTAAAAATACATACTCACTGAAAACTTGGATACTTGTTCACTATCAAAATTCCAATCTATTGATTCAATTAAGGTCACAATGAGTCTTTAATACATAACTATTGGCATCAATTTCTCATAGATAGTTGTGGTATATTTATTTCATGCATACTATGCTAGCTTTTCTATTTTGTTTTGTTGATTCCAATATGACCTAAATATCTTAAGTTTTAATAGTACGAGGGTTGTCCCAATATTCTGTGACAAGATTGTTTAAAAGCTAAATAAAACAGGTACGAATATGATATTTTAATATGTTATAAACCCATATAATTTAAACATTTTCACAAATTTTCATAGATAAATATCAACAAACAACAAAAATATGCCATAAACACCATGGCAACTAACTGAATCGCGGCGCACGTCCAACGTCAAAGACGGCGTTAAATCTATATAAGGCGCCTTTCTCAAATACTCTCAATGGCTCTCAACGCAATAATGGTACCCATAAATCGTCAATTTCTGACTTAAATCATGTGGTTGTTAATGTCTGTTGAATGTTTGGATGGCATACGTTAATTTTTGCTATACGCGAACTTCCGGTCTCGTTACTCCTGTTTTTAGCCATAGGAAATAGGCGACGAAGATCGGTCTTCCTATCCGTGTTTTCCTTATTTTCGCTTTTTGTAGCTCAAAACTCTGGTTCCGTTCATGCCTTTTGTACACAAATGCTCAGAATATGTTGCTTAACTGTTATATTTGGTATATTTGTTGAAAATCGTTACATGTGTCATCTCGAAATAGTCATGAAACCTGAGTGACATGTTCACTGCGCCGCAAATTCTTCGAACGTCGCCATTTTAACTTTCCTATTTTATATGAGATATTTTCATTTATTCGTATCTTTTTCGTTTTTTTAAGTTATTTAACTAAAATTTTCAGAGATGATTTAAACATAGCAGCAGAGGAAGTCAACGTGACATTGTGCAGACACATCATTAGATATTTGAAATATACGTAATTAATTTCAGCCTATTCATAACAAAATGTAAATTATTTGACGTGCGCCGGCATCTCAAACCAATGTCGTTAATACTGAAAATTTCTAAGTAACTAGGGTAAATTTTTTGTAAATGATTTGTTGTAATGTTAAATAATAAACTTAACGGTTATATATGTGAATTATTTTCTATTGGCATTAAAAATGAACCGGCTATAAAATTTGTCACGGACTTTTGGGACAACCCTCGTATATATAGAAATTCAAACTCTTTAATGCACTTCATCTGTACAATCGGAGATCGATTCCGATGTATATTATGGCACCATTGTGGCAGGTGAACGAGATATGCTCTATTATCAATACATCAAAACAAGTAAAGTTTGATTTGCGAGGTTTTTGTCACCAGATCCAATCTTTGAAGGCATTTCTATAGTCCTTTTAGGTATACTTTAAAGACGAACCCATCTGTTTGCGCTGAACGAATTTTCTTCAAAAGGTATTTTTTTAGCTTTGTAAAAGGGGCAAGGTTAGGTGAGTATAATAGGACGGGGGAACATAACGACTTCATCTTCAGAAGCACTATAGAAGCCTTGTACAATGACGCGTTGTCATTCGGCAATTTGACATTGACCAAATTGGTCAATACTAACTTACATTTGAATTTATTAATGAATCCAACGAATAACTGATGACAAATACAGTTAATTTTGTCCTAATAGATTTCATAAAAAATAATCTTTTCACCATATGAACGGATTTTAATGAATGTGGTATCAAGGTTAAGTTAATCGGATATCTACCCTATATCCTTCCTTTCCCAAGTATTTTCGCTATTTTAAACAATATAACGTTTTAAGTCCATCCATATTTTAACACTCCTCTTAATAACGACTCTGCTGCTCATCTTATTTAGACCGACTGTGAAATGTCATAACTCAGCAGTATGTTGTCAAAATTGGTTCAACCGCTTGATGAAAGCTATTTGGCTTTAATACTGTATGATTAATACCAGGGTAATTATTTAGAACCAAATTATAGTAATTTTTCTGTATGAAATTAATGTACACAAAGTAGTATTTTTACAATGATTTATTCTTGCAAATATGATATTGTCACTCAATTATTTTGATTAAAGAATTATTTTGGACGCTTGCAATTAATTCCATTATAATTTGTCTTTAGGGGATATGTTAAACTTTTGTGTATGCAGTAAATTCAAAATTGAAAAAGGAGACACACTTGAATTTCTTTGAGAGAAAAAAATATATGTATATTATTGTTTATTCATTGACGTCAAACATAACATAATGTAGAATAAAGAGTTAAGAATATTCTAGACATGTTCTCTCAGTGTTTCTTGTAAAAATATATAACGAATTATTATTGCCAATTGCCAATTGCCTTTTATACGAAGTGTTTGTATTTGAAATTGTTTATTAGTTACAGTAGTTCATAGCAGAAATAACTTTAAGTAACAGACGCTTATAAGATTTTGTTAGAATCAGTATCCTGAAATGTTTTATTTTTATTAGCCAATCAAAATCATTGTTTTTATTCACTGCGGAGATGGTGCAATCACTAGTTTATATAGAGCGAGCGCGATAAAGAGTCAATTTGGTTTCGTCCGTGGGGAAGACCAGAGCTGTATTATATTTACTGGTACACAAAATCTCAGATATCTGGTGCTAAAAATATCTTGCTGTTTCTGTGAAACCTCATGGACAAACGTTTGACTAAAGAAAGTTTGAGATATTGGTATTTAATTTTAGGTATTCTGAATATGTCTGTGTATAGAAGGGAACGTCGTAGTAAAAACATAGATATCTGACTTTTAGGACGCTTTGCTATTTCTGTCAAACCTCTGGATGAATGTTTAAGTTGAAGTATGTTTGGAGAATAGATATTTAAAGTTTGTTTGGTTATGTCCTCGTAAGAGTCGGATCGTAATGATAGTAACATTTTCTTGTACACAGAAATTTCAAATATCTGGTACTGAAGTGTTCTATTGTTTCAGTAAGACCAGTCGGGCCAACGGTTGATGAGAAATATTCGAATTGAATTGAAAGATTATAGTTAGTAGTACACAGAAATCTATAAGCTATATTTATAAGACAAATAATTTATTAGGAACTATTTGTTGTTATCAATGTTTGAAGTAGTGTATCTTTAGAAATGAATGTAGGATAAGAGATGGTTGAAATGTAAATGTAGGGGATGAAGGATAGGTTAAGCTTAAGAATGATATTAGGTTGAGAATAGTTTTTCAGTAAATAAATTATTTCTTGAAATACATATTTTTGATAGATTTTAGAAATAGATTAAGATTGTTATTTTGCAATGAATAGTGTTTTTTAGTTATTTTCCAATCATTATGATAAATATCCCGGGAAAAATAACATGTATTTGCATTTAAGAATACTAAAAATGATTAGATTTTATTTTGTAGCAATAGATAAATAGTCAACAGCTCGGTAAACGCTACAGTTGTTATTTTATTCAACTTTGAAAATATCAAATTTGCTATGAACCTTAACATTATTTAGCAAATAAATGCCAACAATTATTATATATAGATAATGTTAAAAAGAAAAAATGAAACATAAAAGTTGTCCCTTCTGTGTTTTGAACCCACGCCCCTTAATTTCAATGTGCGTACTTGACAAGTGATTGTAGCCTATTTGAATACTCTTCAAAATGGAAGTGATGCATTACCAATGGTCTACCTATTTAGCAAATAAATGCCAACAATTATTATATATAGATAATGTTAAAAAGAAAAAAATGAAACATATAAAAGTTGTGCCTTCTGTGTTTTGAACCCACGCCCCTAAATTTCAATGTGCGTACTTGACAAGTGATTGTAGTCTATTTGAAAACTCTTCAAAATGGAAGAAATGCATTACCCATGGTCTACCTTAATTCAAATTCCCTATTGCGACTGTTATTATAACCGGACACCGATTTGAAATACTAATATTTATTTTGCTATTTGTTACTGTCAGCTAGTGGAGTTGATGTGGAGTTACAGGAGGAGGATGGAGTAACTGTGGAATTTCTATGTAATATAAACATCAAAACTGTCCTAGATATCGAACACACAATCTCCTGGGAACGAAATGGGACACACATTGTAGAGGGTGATAAATACGAAATAAGCAACAATACTCTGCAAATTTCCAAACCAAGTAATGATTGTCTGTAGTTTTTATTATACATGTATTTATGATTATTTTTCCCTAGTTAAGTTATAAGAATAAAGAATGTTTTGTAGTAGAAATAATTGAATAATTGTAATACCGCTACCATGACACACTAAGAAGCTAATTCAACCTTGATCATTTTCAAAACATGTACCAGTACATACTTGCTATGTTAACACTACTTTCGACTTTTCCTTTATATTCAACCTTTTCAATGTTGATTACAACCCTGCATTTGCAAAAGCCGAGTGAGCCGTTTTGATTGGATTTTAAAATACAAGGATATAGTAACGGTCATGTGGTGACCATCTTGACTCTAGAAGTAAGTGTCCATTAACATTGTGCATTCTTCCAGACACGAATCGGCACCTGTGTATAATAACCTTCGTAAGCTGCCTGGATAACCTAACCACATGGAATAATCCAAAATATCTGACGGGATTTGAACCCACAGCGGTAAGGAGCAAGTGAACTTAAAAACCGGATCCAAAGACCTCATGGGCGAGATTGAATCTCTCGTGTTTTTTTAAAGTAAATAGTAATACATGTTTTTATATTCAGGGCATATGGAAATTGAACCGTCCGTCAACTTATCGTTGTGTTGAATATGGAAAGGGGACTATCGTAATGAAAACAAAACACCTGTTCGAACGAGATCAATACATAAACCAACAAGATAGACATGTCTTGAGTTCTACCTATACCAAATGCCTCATTATGTATAACCTTATTTATAAAGTACATGATCTTTGCAAGTAAAAAACAACAAAAACTAATTCTGGCTTCCTTTGTTCAAGTTATTACGCTTTTGAACACTAAGTAAATTGATATGATTAACCTTATATATTTGTTGTTATATCTGCACTATTCCCACACTTTACATACTTTGTTGTCAATACAAATTACATGTCAAGTTATATTGGTTTGCTATTCACTTTTCCCAGTTATTTCCATTCTTATCACTTCGAAAATAAGTATATAGTTTACCTATTCCGGCATGTTGAATTTATCTGTAAGCTTTTCTTAAAGCTTCATTAATTGAATGATATTTTCCATATTTCTAAAGTTGATGACTGTTATAGTCATGTAACGTATTTTTGAGTGTAGGTGATTTTGGGTAAATGTCAAGGTCACTGGTGCAAGTTTTAACACTTTTGCTCATACATTCTTTATTTATAAACTGATGTCATGTTTTAAAGGAACGTACCTAGGGAGGTCTTGTTCGATTGGTGTAACTAGGGGTTATTTGGGTCAAGGCTAAGATCATTAAAATCGATTTAACGTTTGCTTATATAGCCTTAAATAATTGATAGTTTTCATATTTGGAAGGAACATACCTTGATTGTCCAGAGTCAGAAGTCACAACATCAATGTCACCTTTGCAAACAATATATTGTTTACCATTTTTATTCCACAGCCTTTATTTTTTACCATATTTGGAAAAACATATCACCTTAGATGGTTTATTAAGTTTGAATGGAGTGTTTAGATACTGAGTTCAAGGTCAATGTATATATGTTTGATAAGCTGTTACTTGTAAGTTGAATATATTTCAACTTCATCTGATAGCAATTATATGTCAGTATTAATGTTTCGCATTAACAATAGTCAAGTCAGTAACTCTGTCAAGTTATATAACTGTAGCTTTTTCAGCAATTTGTCCCAAACTCTTTGAATGGGTAAACGTTTTTTTTTGTTTTTGTGAAAATGTAATAATTTTATTCAAACGTGAATCTGGGCCGAGTACATTTGTGTTACCGTATAAGTTGTTTTTTTTCTGCGGGACTTTATTTCTGCGTATTCTGCGATTAATTTCAGCAGCGCAGAATTAAAATCCGCAGAGTATTTCTTCATTTTGTTTTTTTAACCTGTTACGATATGTGTCCTATATTATTTATTATTACACTACCTGTTTCGTCTATGTAATAACGAGTAAGGAATTATAATGCTTGGCGGGTCATCGAGTTTTATTTAATTTCTGTCGGCTAAGTATGCATGTGCGTTTGTAAGAATGTTCTTATTTTTAAATTATGCGAACTTGTGAATGAAGATTTTTAAACATCATACATGTATATAGTGTTTGCTGAGACGCTGAAAGGTTTGTTAATCATTAAATCTTTTAAACTATTTTAACCCTCACTCTGCTAAATAATAGTCTTATACTCTAATTGTTGTCTGGTTTATATTTAATTGTTATATCTTAATTTGGAGCCCTCAGAAAAAACCACTTATACGGTAACCAAGCAATTTCTTTTCTAATACAATAACATATATGACGGTGCAAGATAAGAGTATGCGAATCGTTTAAATAATGACTAATCCTGAAACATTTAAACAAATAACAAACTTTTCAGCATGTTAATTTATTAATCATTAAAAGAAGTTCATTCTTCTAAAATTCAAGGAATTATATATTCTAAATAATATTTGCAGCACGAGCAGATTTGGGAGCATATCAATGCATTGTAGTTATGTTTCCTACCTCTATGGTGGAGAAACAGACTGTCCGTATCAAACCATTTTACCTAAAAGGTGAGTTCGCATATTTACCCTTTCAAAAATGTCCCTTTAACTAAATTGTAAAATTCTCGTCCTTAAATGATATTGTATTATTTAATTTATCGAATGATAATGACTGCCAAAATATAGCACCAATGGTAATCGGTGTTATTAATGAATAAAACAAATAAAAGAAGTGTATTGTTGCCTATCAAATTAACTAGCATATCCTTTTACACTATAAGATGGAATGAATCTAATTTCTGTAAAATATCTGAAACTTAAAACACGTAAACCTTACTCCCTAAAAGTAGACTAGTTCAACTTGATAAATCTTAAGGTAAACATATGACCATACCTACGATGGTTACTTATAAGTATGTAGCACAAATGATAACTGTATAATTGAAATTATCTAAACTTCGAATGATCATAATATATGATAACAAAAACATTTATTTATTATCGAGAGTCACTGGATCTTTTTGATTTTATATGCAGCAAGTCCAAAAATAGAATCTCATGACAGTGATAAGAATATGGTTACGGGTGATAACCTCGAGCTAAAATGTAAAGTTTCTGGTTACCCTACACCAATTGTATCTTGGTTCAAAGATGAGAAAGAGATTGAAACTACCAGTAGGATTAATATCCTTGAATATGAGGGTGTAATGGGCAAGTTGATGATTCATTCTCTTAAAAATGAAGATGAGGGTATCTATAAATGTCTTGCTAAAAATGAAGTGGTACCATTCAATGCAGATGCAAAGATGACAGTAAGAGTGGAAGGTAAGAAGGTATAATTTGATTATAACCACTGAGAAAATGTTCCTATTTTCGTAAATAATTGCAACAGCACCATTTAAAATTATCTTTAGATATCTGAAGGCTCTCAATTATTAATGATTTTCTAATTACTCATTGAATGTGTCTTTATATTAATTTTAATCAATTTCACGAAAGTTTGATTTGAAATCATGTTAATTTGCATTTTTTTTACCTTTTTATTAATTTTTTTATATGTTTGTCATCTTTCCTTCAGCATCATGTATTTATTATAGTCATTCCACATTCTTTAACCATTTTTATGAAAAAAGAGAAATTGAATACAAAACACACGCGTTATAAATAAGAAAAATATTCAACTTTAGAATAAATGTAAATGAAACATACGCATCACAATACATTGACGTTTAACTTTATCACCTAAAGTACCAACCAAAGTTTGAGGACCTATTACTATGATCAAATATGTAAGACGTTTGTCAATAAATAAGGACTAAATAAGCACAAGCATGAAATAAACTTTTACCATTTGTGACTTTGACATATCGTCCCCAAACTAAATCCACAGTTGAAAGACCATCTAAAAAACGTTCCTGCAAAATATTTCATTGATCAAGAATCAAAATA